ACAAATGATTAAATTTTGTTTTTTTTTTTTTTTTTTTTTTTGCGTTTACTTGTTCAAGTTCACTGATACTTGAATGAGATTAGTGTGGCTATAGTTGGCCTTCTAACAGAAGCTCAGAACAACTACCAGCTACGCAGAACTAGGATGCAAGAGAGTGTAATGTGTTGCAGTGGGTGGGAGAAAGTATTTGATGAAAGGTAGCTTTTGAGCTGTACCGCTGCTTAGGAACTGCTGCATCTTGAATGCATCGGTAACTGTAAGATTTCTACATTATTGTTGAGTCGTATGTCCATAGAAAGCTATTTCGCAACATATTACATTATATAATTAAATTATGTAGTAATGTCTGTGTATGAAGAAAGGCCTAATATTGTAAGATACAGTTTCAAACCAAAGTACTTACTAAGCCCATCCCAGAGTAAAGGCACAGTTGTGCGCGTATCAAGGTATTCATAATGATGCATTTTACTACCGATCTATCTATTGGCAGCCTATTTATGTTACAGTTTGGGGCGCATTAGGAAGAATGTTTGTCTGTGGCTTGCCAAGTGAATCACTTTGGTGTTTATAACCTCTTGGTGATTTGCCAGGTAAACCTCTGTGCCAAGTCTGGTTTCTCATGTGATCATGAAGTGATACAGGAGGATGCACTGAGGACTTGCCTGGCCACCTCCCCTTAGCACCCTGACAGGGACGTGGCAATTGTCTTGTGCTTTAAAGAGGAAACTTTCAAAGGCATATAGAGCTAAGTCTCATGCAGAAATCGCTGGGGTTCCCTTTGAACATCTGACACTTTCCCTTTGCATATCCTTCTTTCAAGCTCAATTTAAAGGAATTGCCCAATCCCTGAGCGTGTGTCCTCCTAGGAAACCTTACTTACCTGATGACATTTACTCCCTGTTGCTTCCCTGTCTGTCTATTGGCGTCAGTATTTCATTTTCCCTAGAGTTATTAGTGTGGAATCAAGTCTTGAACTTGCTTCGGTGGGCAAAATTTGCCATCGTACCTTTGAAACAACCTATGAGTGCTTCTCCAATAGTGGAAATGGCAAGCGTCAAGTTAAATGTAATTACTGTTTAAACTTTCAGATTCTTTTCACGTGGTCTGGAAAGAAGTAAGGGGGATCGTTCAAACTGATTTCCTGTGGGGTAATTTTCAAGTTGTGGTACTGTTCCGGTGAGAAGAAGCTCCTGTGAATCATTCTGAATCCTCCTGTAAGCGTGATCTGAGGGGCTTGGGGGCTTATGTTTAATTTTGATTTTAAAGATTAAAATTAGGTGCAAAGAGGAGGTTGTTTTGTGCTCAGGTGTGCACATATACGCATGTGGGACCAGCCACCAGAAAATAGTATTTTTATGCAGTAACTTAACTGTCACATGGATTTGAAAATCAACTTTTCACTTCTTTTTTTGGAAAGAAAGCTTTCACATAACGCAGGCGTTGTTTCATTTCTGTATTTAATAAATGCAGAAAACACTTTACATGGTATTGGCCATTGTAAATAATATAAGGACTTCATTCACTTCTAAAACATGGTTGGATGGTAAATTTTACAGGTGGTGTTTTCCCAGACTTCTCTTCTTATTTCCTTTCATTGTGAGTGCATGTTTCTTACTCATCTTCTTTCAGAAATGATCTTCGCAATGGGACAGTATATCTGGGGTAGAAGTTCTTTAAAAGGAAGAACATGGACTTGTGACTTACCAAGTAAAGTTTTGCAAGACATCCTTGCCCCTGTCTGCTGTTTGGTGCTTTATGAAAACCAGCTGTCACCTAGGCTCTTCAGGCTTTTGAAAGTCTGGTGATTTTTTGCTTCTTCCCGAAACACTTCATCGCTCTGTCAGTAAATAAACAGAGTGGGTCTCCTCAGCTATATTTGAGCATTCCCGGACTTGGCACTTATTTTGCTGGAAGACGGAAGTGTGTCTGCAGTGCAGATACTTTATTTGATCCCATGTCAATCATCTACTTGAGTTTATAGGACTTTGTTTTCATTTTTATCCCTTTAGTACTGTTAGAGGTTCTTGGCTTCCCTTTGTACTCCACCTGAGCTCTAAAAGGTGAATGAATCTAACTTACCCAGGCTGCAAAGAATCTTTCCTGGGTGCTTTTGACCACTTCCAGCTACATTACCATGTTTGTCTATGGAAGCACAGAAAGAATACATTTCAAAATCATGTATTCCCCTTAATGTGTCTTACTGTGTTCCACTCCTTCGCATCAGCCTAATACTGCAGTATAGAAAATGTGGATTAGCCTGCTGTCCAGTAGCATGAAGAAATAGCCGGTTGTAGTAGCTGCTCATACAGAAAAGTCTGCTGAAGAACTGAAATTGCCGTTCTTCATTTGTCCTTCCATGCTGCCTCTTCCCTCGTTACCTCTCTCCACCCCGCCACCCCCCTTTTTAGCTCCTTTATAAAAAAACCTAAAGCCTGATGAATTCTTGTTTTTTTCTTTTATTTAAGGACAGGGTATGTTAAAAGTAAACATTTAAAATTTTGCAGCCATTTGCTGTTGGCTGCATTTGTTTTAGTAATGGTACAGAAGCTGAAGCCGTGTGTCGCCAGGGCCCAGGGAAGAGAATATCTAGAAATAAAAGGAGATTCTGACATCGTGCGTGTTTCTAAGACTATGAAACAGTGAAAGTGAAGGTACCGCTGAACATAAAGTTTATCGCTGTTGCTGGGGAATAGCGTACGCCGCCTTCGGGAGCGTTGTGAACTCGGCCAGACAGAATGGGTGGAAGGGCAGAAGGTGGGGAATGTCTGCATCCTATTATGAATTGGAGGAAATGACTGTCTGCCCTCTGTACGCTGGTGGGCTCGGAGCATCCTGCTGGCAGGCTGGTTAGCGCTGTAGGATACTGAACAAAAAGTGGTGAATTGTCAGCTTTGGTGTTTAAAATACCTACTAGGGATGAGAAGAAGTTCTTTAAAAATATGCTGTGGGTGTGCTGCTGGCTTTCTTAAACTAACTGGAAACTTTCTGCTTTCTTTCAGGAGCATTTTTTCTCTGAAAACATTGCTGCTAAAAAGCTCCAGACAGGAGAAGTAAATCCAGTCAGCTTGTCAGGTCACTGGCTCAGTGTAAAAGTGCTTTCATGAGGTAACGTTGGGCCAAGGTCAACTTTTCTTTCTCCTTTGTAAATCTGCAGCCAAGCAATGGGCCAGAAAATCTCAGGGAGCATAAAGTCTGTGGATGTGAGGGAGCCCCCTTATAGACCTGTTAAACGAGAGCTGAGAGGCCCGGATTTTTGCAAGCCGGCGCGACTGGACATGCTGTTGGATATGCCCCCTGCCAACCTGGAGGTCCAGTATAAACATGCTTGGAACAATGAAGATCGCTCCTTAAATATATTTGTAAAGGAAGATGATAAACTGACTTTCCATAGACACCCCGTTGCCCAAAGCACAGATTGCATCCGGGGCAAAGTCGGCTACACGAGAGGCCTGCACGTCTGGCAAATCCACTGGCCCACGAGGCAACGGGGAACTCACGCTGTGGTGGGCGTCTCCACGGCCGAAGCTCCGCTGCACTCGGTGGGATACACGTCGTTGGTGGGTAGCAATAGTGAATCGTGGGGCTGGGATCTGGGACGCAACAAACTCTACCACAATTGTAAAAACCAGCCTGGGGTCACGTATCCTGTCTTTTTGGAACCGGATGAGTCTTTTGTACTCCCAGACTCCTTACTGGTGGTTTTGGATATGGATGAAGGGACGCTTAGCTTCATGGTAGATGGACAGTATCTTGGAGTGGCCTTCAGGGGACTCAAAGGGAAAAAACTTTACCCCATAGTCAGTGCAGTTTGGGGGCACTGTGAAATTACAATGAGATACATCAACGGACTTGACCGTAAGTGTTACCATATTTCTTCGTTACACTGTCTTTCAACTTTTCTCATGTAGGATTTTTTTCTTTATCCTTTTGTTGTGAACGGAGTGTGCTGGGGGAGAGGGGACTGTCCACTGTAAGTAGATTGCATCCCATAGTTACTGCACACAACTGATACCTATTAGTTGTGTCTTGTAACGATCATATGGATTGTAGCAAAATATTTTCCCGTTTGGCAAGCATAGTGGCAAGAAATCTGTGTCCTAAGAAAGTGAACAGACTCAGAAAAAAAGATTTTGAGAAACTTCCTGGGTATATTTAACAGTAAAACTCTTGTTTACTGGAGGATGTGTTTTAAATCTGTGGTTTTCAAATAGGATTTGTGAATCCTGTAAAAATTTCCTGTAGTAGTGGGAACTCTTACATGCTGTGCATAAACATACTTGAATTCAGGCCAGTAGGCTTTCTTTCCATAGTTGCCTTTCCAGGGCCCTCAGAAGCAGCTGTGGATCCCCAAGAATCTGGGAGCTCAGGTCAATTATTGCTTTCAGCAGTTTTTCTGAAAGAGAGTTCTGTTCCTTAGTTCATTTCAGAAGGTGCTCTCTCAGGGTATTTTCTTCTCTGGAAATAATGGGTTTTTGGATAAGCGTTAGCTATTTTTGATCTAAAGGGGTAATACCAAATTAAATCACTGCGTAGTAAGGAGCAGCATATTGCTGCTGTGACCTTGAAGTAGTAGCCCACCAGAAGATAAGCTGCAGAACTGGGTCTTGTCCAGTTCTTCTCACTGCTCGGGAAGACGTGTGCTCTGCCGGGTCCCTACACAGCACAGCGTACGTTCGGTCATGCCCAGTTTTCTACAGTCAGCTTACCGGCTGATGTGAATTGGGGAATGGAAGGCTGAACGAGGCAGTACGTGGAACTTTGTTCTTGTTTAAGACTGTTATCTGAGCCATAGGAGGAACCATGAATGTAAGTACATACATTTAACAAAAATAAGACAACTGAACAAAATTTTCATGGTTTTTGGGCTTTATGAATGGAACTTGGTCTCGTAAAAAGAGAATAATAGCAAGTGTACAACACCTGCCTTTCAATTAGTAATTTCTAAAGGAATTTACTATTCTTTTCAATTAGGATGGGGTGGTCTGATTTTTTTTCTGTCAAAAATTAATTCTCTGCTCGTTAGCCTTACATCTGACATAGAGAGTAGAAACATAATTGAATAATTCGACCCTGTTTAAGATTACCTTTTCATAAACATCTGTAATAAGCACTGGGGGAAAGAATCTTTATCCATAGAAGCCCTGCAGGTTATTACAGCCAGATGCTAAATGGCAGCTTCCTGAGTGCTTTCGTACAGGGGAATATCGAAGGATCGTAAGTATTTTGCAATTACTCAGACATTGCAAAGAGTGGTGTGCTGACAGCTGCTTTTTTTTTTTTTTGAGGGTGGTGGGGGAGAGATACTGAATATTTGTGTGCAAAAGCAGTTTTTATAATACTGGGAATATCTGCCAAACTAAGCAAAGTACAGCTCGGCTTGGTCCACCATGTCCACACAAGGAATCATTCTGCATTCCTTTTGTAGCCTTCACAGGGCTGCTCAAGGGAGCTCTAGAAAGATGAAAACACAGGAGGAGGATGTGAATGAGTTTGATAGAAATTATAAAATAAAAGGGGCTAAGTAGAGAAGGATAGCTGTGGTCTGTGAGATGGCAGAGAGAAAAATTCCCATCCGGTTTCTCGTGGGATAATTTTGCTGGAAGAGGCAAGATAGCTTCCTAAACTATCCCTGAGAAAGTCAAAGTAGTCTTTTTTTTTTTTTTAAGTGTGAACCCATGGCTAAGAGTAAATTTGTAAACTAATCTTTTATGTAGGCCTGAGTGTTAATCTGATCATGTGAAGAGGAAGTTTAAAGCCGCTTTGCCGCGGGGCAGTCAAGGTAGCTTTCTTAAATTTCCCTGAGAAAGTCAAAGTAAGTCTTTTTTTTTTTTTTTAAGTGTGAACCCATGGCTAAGAGTAAATTTGTAAACTAATCTTTTATGTAGGCCTGAGTGTTAATCTGATCATGTGAAGAGGAAGTTTAAAGCCGCTTTGCCGCGGGGCAGTTTGACATCCTGGAATCACATCACTTGTTATCGCATGTTCACTGATCCATTACTGTCCTGCAACAAAAACAGCATTCAAGAAACCAAAGTAGCTTGTTTAGCTGGTGCTCTAAAGCAAACACCTTCTCTTCTCTGCTAAAAGTGTTTCTATCCAGCCAGCCCTTGTGTAGCAGTGCAAGTTTGGTCGTGGCACTCTTCATGTTCACTCTCGTAGCACTTAAACAATTATAAAAACCTGTAATATTGTTCTTGTGAAAATCGGAGTAGATCTTGAAGAACAGTGAGATGCTCGTGTTGCATTCACAAATTTAAATACGTTTGAACGTACATATGTGTGGGGGTTTTTATTTGTTGTTTGCTTGCTTTTTAACCTTACAAATTCTCTTTTTTTTTTCTCTTTCTCCCCCTTCCCTGGAAGTATCTCGTACTGCTGATTGCAGCTTTTAGTAGATCTGGCAATAGTAACTCAGCTGTTCTTGAAACTGTGCTGTCAAACAGTGACTTCTAACTTGCTATTTAGTGATTGATTGTTACCGCTGAGAATGCATACCACAGCTTGCAATGGTTGTTTATGTGGTGTCTTATGGAGCAAATGGAGACCTCGACTGCAGGGACTTCTAGTGATTTCAGTACTTGCTGTTTAAATGGAAGACTTCTGAATACTTTAAAGGCCCATGTATTTCAGTTGCCTGGCAAAGAGTGAAAGGCTTGCAGGAATGGAAGAGTGAAAGGATCAAATGATGGGCTTGTGCAGCTGCCATGAACTTAAACATATGTTGTAGTGGTACAGAGACGACGCAGACTTTGAAGTATGTTAATTACTGCATAGATGGCAGAATCATAGAAGGATAAGGCTGCAGGTCAAAGATCAAGAACCTGTGTGCCCTCCGGAGTCTGGATGTTGCTCCTAGAATAACGCTGTAGTTAAAATCAGTCGTAGTTCTTCCAGCTGCTTCTGATACCCAGAGTACTCTGCTTTCAGAAGCTACTTTGAGCATCGCATGATGATGTGCATTGGCTTTCACTAGACAGTTCTTCACTCATATTTGAGAGACTCAGAGTTGCAAATATTTGTCAGGGTTTGGGAGGGAAGGCAGGGGGACAGGATGGAGAGTGCTCATCATAGGCGCATTGAGTTCTTCCCAGGACAAACTTCTTTGATCATATGCTATCAGTATTTACCACACTGATGTTTGCCCAGTGCCTAAGTTTTACAAAATTTTACATCAGACTTCTGACTCATTGCCTATTGCAATAATTTAAAAACCCAGATAACATAAATGCAGTATATGTGATTTTTCAGATGCTCTTTTCATCAGGGTATGTACGTGTTTAAAAAAAGCTAGGCTATTTTTATCTGTTGTCTGATGAGGAGTCCTGAGGACTGTTTATAGACTGGAACAGAGCAATAGCAAAACACTTTCGTATAAATGTACATTGCAGATCATGACTGATACATTAGTACTTGTGTGTTTAAACAAAGCGGTGGGAGGACAATAGAACAGCGCCGTGGTGGAAAACTTCGTCATTGAGTAGGTGAGTTGAGTGCAGTGATTTATTTTGATCCTTAAAAATACCTGACCGAATAGTCAGTATTTTGACTTCTGGAAGTTGTAAGCATGCATTACAGGTCCAGCTCTGCCCTGTTCTGAATTGGTGTGGAAGAGCAAAGCAGATGGTCTGTATTTGTATATAATAATAATAGGTGATCCATAGACATAGAATTTGACAGTGCAACTCATAGGTACAAAATTTAGAATTTAATACCTTCCTAGGCGGGGAGAAGGCAGAAGGAGACTGCAGAAAGATTTTCCAGCCATCCTTGTGTGATAGCATAGAGTTGGTTGAAATGAAATACTGAGGGCTGGCAGGAGGGTTTGTGGGGCTCTGCTGGTCTTGGGACCCGTCCCACGTGCATACGTCAGCACAGCACGCTCTCACTAGTGTCGTGAAGAAACATCTGCAGGCGTGCATCAACACTGGCCATCTGTAAAAATGCCTGCTGGTAGCGCTTTCAGATGTCTTCACCCTGTAACATGTACTCTCGCTGAAAGTGCAGTGCTGGCTGCTACAGCTGCTGCCTTGGAGTGGAGCATCTGCTTGAGATACGTTGTGGGGTGCGTCCTAATTAGGGACACTGTCTCCATGTGATCGTGACAATTTTAAAGAAAGCTACAACTTGCCAAACTCTTGCCTAAACTCTTGACTGTTGTGCATTTGCATTAAGGAGGGATAAGTCAATGTTTAAATGAGCTCCAAAGGTCTTGAAACTGCATGTGAAAGGAAGGAGCTCTGAATTCTCTACTACGACATGTTGAGTAGACTACGATAACTGAAGATTAAAAAATAACACCCCACTACTGCCAATTTATATGTTTCTGGTTATAAATCCCGAAGCTATTTCTTAGAGATGAGTAAATTTGGCAAGATTTTGGGGTAATGCTGCCCAACCAACTTCTCAGTAATAATGTCTGATGGAACTTAGTACAGCTACTTTGGAATATTCTATAGCAGACTGTTTATTTCCTTTTGTGTGGTATTTATGGTTCTTTTTGCTGTTTAGGTGTGAAAGAATGCTCCTTGAACTTGATATTGATAGTCCATTGTGGTTCTTGTGCTAAACCTTGCATAACCCTAACGCAATTTTGAAAATAAGCCTAATTGTCGAGTTCAGGGAGCTGAAAGCATTTGTCTCAAAAAAGAAGATGACTTTACTTAAAAATGTAATTTATGGAAAACATTTATGTGTACCAGTTCATATTTTAACCTACAGATCCTTCTTGTAGTATTTGGTACTTGCCGACAAGGGTCCCTAGGCCCTCTGTCAGCTCTTACTGACCACTGCCCTGCAGCATATAGCCTACTTTTAACATCTGTAACGATTTACATCCCCAAATGAAACAGAAGTAT